ATGGCTTTCGCCATTAATTGGATCATTGAATCAGAAGTTATTATCAGACAGCTGTTTCAATGAATTTTCATAATAAATGGATGAAACACAGATTTCTTATTAAAAAGATTATTACACAATTTTTTTAATTGAAGTTGATTTTGTTAAAAAGTTAAGTTTAGTAACGTAATAATAATAAATAATTATGTTAAGGATTTAAATGATTGTAGATGGTAAAAAAAAAATTAAAATAATAATAAGTGTTTTTAAAATGTAAACAACACTTTGAATAGAAGTGTGAATAACTTGAGCTAATAAGATTTAATTAAAGTGAGTAAAATATTTTTGCTTATTTTATTCAAGCAACTCACTCATAATTCAATTAATTTGGTTGATTCATTTAAATGTTATCATTTATTTAAAGAAAAAACATCTCAAAATAACTTTTAATATTAAATTATATAATAAAAATATTTATAATGCATATTGTTGTTCTAGTGAGAATACACTTAGTACTTATTGTAAAAAAAAATTCTTACCTTAGTCTATACCAATCATCTTATTATAATAAGGGTCCCATAATTCAGTGCTAGTCTAATGTTGTTCTTGTATCATATGATCTATTATATATAAAAGGTATTTCGAAATTTAGATAAGTGTTCAATTTTAACAAAATATATTAAATATATTAGGTTTAAAAATATTAAATGTATTGTCTATATGTTCTATTGATAGGATTTTGAATAAACTTTTCCCTTAACGAAGATCTAATAATTTTTTAACCTTGTTTATTACGATAATAATTAAATTATCTCTCAATACTGTTTTTTTATGTTTAATTGATAAAGTAATATTGTGTCGATAAGGTAATTTTGTGTCGAGTATGACATCACATATATCGATCAATAGTGAAAAGTGTGTAGACATATATTAATAATTTTATATAACAATAATAAAGGAAATTTTCAGTGTATATTTTTCTATCATTTTAATTTTTTGAGTAACTAATTTTTAAACCATATTTATCCATAATAATTAATAATTAATATATTATTATATAATGAGTTTAATTTAGTTTACTTTAATTTTAAATGAATATATTAAAAAACTATCAGAAGGATAAATCATTTAATAAATCGTAGTAAGATAAATTCGAATGTATTCTAATATCATTTTGTCAATTAAATTCTCTATCCTAATGGGAAACGTACGTCTGTAAGAGGGAACGAGACTCAGGAAGTGGAAGACAGGTGGTTGTAGGAGAGTGGATGATCGGTGTTTTGAGGGAATATATAAGCTAAAATTTCAAAAGCTGGTTCCACTTTCTACATGCAATCTTCTCCTTCAAACCTTCCGAACTCGTTTCTCCTCCTTCTCTTTAAAATTATCATCTTTTCCTCCATTAAATCTCATGTTTTATTCCATCTGATCATCCATCAGAGTGTATGTAAGGTTGTGGTGGCAAGGGATCTCCTTTCAACCGATCGTTTTTAGTGGTTGAATGGTAGGTCTTCCTGTATTCTAATAAAGTCTAGTTTGGGGCACACTGCAAACCAAGTTTCTGTTGGCATGTGTTTATCCTCTTTTCTTCTAAGGTTCTGATCACGTTTTTGGTCTCGGTTTGGGTGGTTTGTTTACTCAAACAGTGAATCGGGAGGTTGAGTTGGTCGTGGTGCAAAGTTCGTATTGTGAGCGATCGGTCTGTTAAGAGGTAAGGGAAGCTATTAAATTTAATTATGCATGTGATTATTTTTTGTATATGTGGAATGATTGATTGATGATTTGTATATGAGTGTATGAAATGCATGTTTCTGGGTTTTGGGTGGTTCTATATAGTCTATAAGAATTCTGCAAAATTATGTAGAATAGTTGGGTGTTCGGTCTCAAAGGGATGGCAAAAAAAATCCGCGCCCGCGGATATCCGTGGATAAAATCCGCGACGGATAGTTGGTACCCGCGGATATTTACTACCCGCGGGTTGTGGGTAGCGGATTTTTAATACCCGCTTATAACATGATCGGGTGCGGGTATTATACTATCCGTACCCGCGGATATCCGCTACCCGCAAAAAATAAAAAAAAAATTAATATATTTTATTAAGTTAAATTTAAAAAATTAAATTAAGTTTAGGAATAAAGTGAATAAATTAAAATAATTTGAATTATAATTTAATTTAATATAGATATATTTAAGGATTTTTGATAAGTTTATTTAAATTTTATTATAATATTTATAAAAATATTTTTTAAATTTGGGGGTATCCGGGGTATCCACGGATAGTCCGGGATTTTAAAATATCCCGGATATGTTTTAAGAGGGATATCCGTGCGGGTAGCGAGTCGGGTAGCGGGTGAATTTTTTTTGTCGGGTCGGGTTACGGATAGGCACATCGTCCGAACCGACCCGTTGCCATCCCTATCAACCGTTCGGTTATGGTCAGGGAATAAGTTATCAATAGAGTTAGCATTTTAGCCTTACCAGGATATAATCGTTCAGTTTATAGGAAGTGATTAATATATCACGTGTTGATGGTTATATACCTTTATAATCAGTCTTATTGGATTAGGTATTTTAGTTTGTGATAGTTCATATATTATTATTAGTAGACTTCGTACTTAGACTAGGCTTAAATTAATTTCGTTATGATGAGATACAAGTTTATGGTATTTCAGCTTAAAATGTCTTAATGTCGGTTCTTAAAAGTACTAGGTTTGATGAATAGTTTGTAGGAGTAATTATAAGTGTTCGGCAGAAGCTCTAGGCGTTCGGTTTTGTAAAATAAGTAAAATATCGTTCGGTCTTGCACCAAGGATCCGTAGTTATAAGTGTTCGATATAAGCTCTAAGCATTCGGTTTTGTCAGGTAGTGAAATAACGTTCATTCTTGTTGAGTATAGTAGAATATCGTTCGGTTATTACCTTGAGGATATTGAAATACCGTTCGTTGAGTATTGGGAATAGTTAAATATGGTTCAGTCTTATATTAAGTATTGGTTTAATTAGAGTGTTATATTCTTAAGCTGTGTTCGGCTATGTCAAAGTCATATCTATTCAATAAACGTCGTTATATTCGTCTGTTGTTTAGATCCTTTCCGTTCGTTGGTAATAAGGGTGGTGTTATTTGAGTGTTCGATCTTCTTATATGAAATGTGGTTTGATCTTTCAATGCTGATGTTATGGATTGGTGTTGGTTGCTTATTTATAGCAATGATATATTATGTATGAGAAGTATTATTGGTATTCAAGTAAAAGTTTATGTTTCAAGTAATGTGGAAGAGAATTTCGGGAGGAAGTCTCAGTGTAAGGATAATGTTGTAGTAAAGTATGAATATGGATAGTGAAATTCACGGAGTTTATCCTGATATTCAAGTAGAGATGGGTAAGTCATTGTGTGAGAATGGCGAGAGGTCCTAGCCCATAGGTTCTTGGGTGAGTTATAACGGACTAACCTCTGGTGGCAGCTGATGGTTTTCCAGTTACTACACCACCCGAGTGCACGAACGACCTCAAGCTACGTATTCATACAATCCGGATGGTCTTGTCAAGTGTCAGCCGTACGTGAATTATGATATTCAAGTTATGTGTGATATCTACGTTGGCTCTTGTATGCTATAGCGTTCGGTTTGTAATGATTTGTAGTTTTATTTCATGTACGAATGCATGCTTAATTAAATTATAGTAGCTTACCCTTATTTTATATTTTTATCCATGTTGTCGTTCGGTTTTCTATTGCAATGATCATCCTTGTTGGATGTGAGCAGAAGGGGTAAGGCTTACGTTGGAACAGGAGATGGACGGTGAGACTCCTGCTGAATAGGAGATGACCGTTCGATCATATAGTATAGATAGTTTTGGTGAAACGACCGTTCACTATTTTGTTCTGTAAATATAACCGTTCCGTTATATAATAAACGTTCGATAGTAGTATAGGAAGCTCTTGTAAAGTTCGAAAAATTTTATAGTTATTTTTATAATAATTGACTTTAATATTGTAATAACTGTTTTATCATATTATTAAATGTTGAGACCTGTATATAATTTTGTGCTATATTTCTGGGATGTTACACATTTTATAAAAATAAATATTAAACGTAACTCGACTAATAAAATCATATTCTATAATAGGAATTTCATTAATTTATATAAATTGTTTTAATATTTTAATCATAAATCTAGACTAGATCTCTAACATTATTAAAAAAAATTATTTTTGATCGACAAAATATAACTTTTTATTTAACAATATATCAATCAACACCTAAGATTTTATTACAGTTTGATTTACTTAACTCTGTAACAAAATAATTGATAAAGAAATAAGAGTGATAAAAATATTATTCTGATAAACAAGTTAACTATTTTATCAAACACGTTATAAAGTTGAACTTAATGTTACAGTTAGATAGAACACAGATAAGTTTGTGTAAAAATCGTTCTTCACGCCATAGGAAACATGAAAAGCTGAATTAAGGATGTTCCTCGAATGATTCGCCAGTAGTAAAAACATTCCCCAAATAATCATAACCCTGTTTCTTTCTCTTCTAGAAACACCAAAGCAGTGCGGTTGGTGGATCAAAATGTGTACTTTACCCCAACATATAATCATTTTTAATTATTTTCATACCAAAAAGATATTTATTTTAGAATAATGTTATTATACATTCATTTTTTATACAATATAAAGATAAAATAATCATAAAAATTTAAATATTTGATTTTTTTTAAAAAAAGAAAAAAAATAATATTAAATGAATATAAAAAATTTAAGTGTGTGAAATAATTTTTTCTATTTATTTTATCATTCTATTTAAACTCAATGCATCTAATAGGTTTTTAACGGCATTTAGCAGATTTAGTTTTTTTTTCACAGATCTGATCATTCATTATTTTAATGGTACAAGTTTTGTTGATTTGTTATTTTCAAATTCAATATATATAATTTAATAAGCACGTTTTTGTGATAATGTAAATTAAAAAGCATTAATTACAATTAAATGAGAGTGCAAGTTGGTAGAATAAGGTTAGAAAACAGAGTAACGTAATGACAACCCAAACTCTGAAACAACACCGTTGGGATCTCGAAGTGGACCCAAATCTCTTTTCACTGTTGTACAGCGAAGCTGCACAGTAGGTCTCCCTGAGCGGCACCGCTGCTGAATTTTCCCCAACCCAATTTAATTTCTCAGATTCATAATCCCTGTTTCATTCATTGCTCTTCAACTCACCAACAATAAGAAGAAAAACAGAGCAAAACAAGAGCTCTGAGAATCTCCACGCAAGGTGAGTTTTTTAAGTCAACCCACTATTCAAGTTTACGTGTTCTCTTCTGGGTTCTCTTTTCTTTGCGTGTTAATTATCTCCCCTTTATGGAATCTCAATTCCGTGTTTGTTTGTATTTCTGAGGAATTTTTATCGTGGTTGGTGGTGTGTGCGTGTTGGATTCAACGAGGGGAGGTGGTCAAAACTTTGGAATATTCTCAAAAAATGCTTTCTTTATTGGTTTAACTTTTGTTATGTATTATGGGAAACAGGGTTTTGGATTCGAAACGTGTTTATTCATTCCCCAATAACTGGTGGTTGTAATATGGGAAGCTGTTGTTCTTTGATCGGAAATGGGGTTGGGGTGTTTAGCCAGAGAAATTGGTGTGCTAAGTAGGTTTGGAATTGCCTTCTCTGGTTCAACATTGGGATTCCAAGATGGTTTTGGGAGATTTATTGAGATAGAAGTTTTGAAAATTTCAAGTTGATAGCAGAGAAGTATTGAAAGTTTCAAATTTCAACAATCCCCTGTTATTTCAGAAGTGATTCTCAAGACCAGTTTCTCTTTATATTTTTTTTTTTGCCTTGCTGTGTGTTTTGGTCCTCAGTTTTTATACTAGATACCAACCAAGGTTGGGTATTGTGTACGAGGTTAGTGTCTCATAACACAGTGACCAAAGACTTGAATATCTGATGAGAGAGGTGTTTGCATTTATTGGTCAATCATGTTTCCAACAGGATTGCATCTAAAAAGAATAACCAATTCTTGAGCAAAAAAAATTACTACTCCTGAGAAAGGTTTTAAAATGTGATTTTGTTCAAGAAATTGTTTCATTACAATTCTTGATATTTCAGAAATTTACAAAATGTGACTTGTGTGCCCACTATTGTAGATGTCCAAGTACAAAAAACCTTGATAATAGCATTTGTTTTTAAAAACTGTTTTCTGTATTTACCTTGATTTCATTTTTATTTTTGTTTCCATAACATGTATAAGAAACAGTGAAAACCGAAAATAAATATAAGATAAAGTTGCTTTCATATTTCTTTATGTAATATGCAGAGTATTTTTGTAATTAAAAGTGAAAATTAAAATGAAAGCAGAAAACCTTTGTTTTAATTCAGAAGAAACATTCTCCTCTTTCTTAACCACACATGTCATTTAGTCAGTTGCTGCATTATGGTGCCCTTGAACATTTTACTGTGCATGTGGTTGATGGTTTTGCATTTCATCTTCTCTTGCATATTGAAATTTATTGTGTCAGAGATTTTATGCTACTGTACAATCCATCTTTTTGCAATTTAAATGTATCGGTACTTACTGTCTTGTTCTTATGCTACTTGGGATTTGGGATTGTCTGCTGAAAGCAACTTTTTCAACCCTTGTAGAGTTCAAATTCTCCCTTGGATTTTTTATACCATCTTTTGAAGTACATGTATATTAAAATTTCTTTTAATATATTTTAAAACATCAAAACTAATCCAAATCCAACCTCTACACAGCAATTGAAAATACTAAATACTGTAGTTCCCAATTTATTGACTGTGGTTACAAAACATTTAATGAATACTTCTAGTTGAAATGTAAGTATTAAATGATTTTATTACTTCTGGTACAATAAATACATTCTGGTTGATAAACAATTTTTTGTCTGATACCATTGCTGTTAGCATACTTGTCCAGAATTGGATATTATCAAATAACACTACAGTACATTATTGCAGAAGGAAAGTTTTTCAACAGTTTCCTGAAGAAGATGGAAGTTAGCGGGCCAGTGAAATCTGAAAATAGATTAAAGCACCGACCCTTGACCCCTCTTAGGTTGTTGAGGGGTATAATATGTTTAGTGGTATTTCTTTCTACAGCTTTTATGTGTTTAGTGTATTTTGTGCCAGTGGCAGTTGTAGGATTGCGGCTTTTCAGCATACGTTATAGTAGGAAGACAGTGTCATTCCTGTTTGGACTTTGGTTATCTCTGTGGCCATCTTTGTTCGAAAAGATTAATAAAACCAAAGTTGTGTTTTCTGGGGATAGTGTTCCAATGAAGGAACGTGTTTTGCTTATTGCTAATCACAGAACTGAGGTTGATTGGATGTACTTGTGGGATCTTGCACTTAGAAAAGGGACACTGGGATGCATAAAGTACATCCTTAAAAACAGCTTGATGAAACTACCTATCTTTGGTTGGGGATTTCACATTCTGGAGTTCATTGCAGTGGAGAGGAAGTGGGAGGTAGATGAGCAAATACTGCACCAAAAGCTTTCAACTTTAAAGGATCCTCAAGATCCCTTATGGCTAGCTCTTTTTCCCGAAGGAACAGATTATACGTACTACCTTGGATCTTGTCTTTTAATTTCCAACTGCTTTTATTGTCATTGGATAATCAACATCAACTCTTTTCAGTTCCTCAAATCATTTCATTTGATACTGTCTGTTTGCAGTTGATGTCGTGTTTTGTCTGGCATGCTGCAATTTGTGGATCATGTTATACCACACAAACGTATATACATAGTTCAATTGAGATGCACACTTGACATATGATTTGCTTTCATTGCGTAGTGATCAGAAGAGTAAAAACAGTCAAAAATTTGCTGCTGAAACTGGTCTCCCTGTGCTGAAAAATGTATTACTTCCGAAAACAAAGGGGTTTCATGCTTGCTTGGAAGCCCTACGAGGCTCATTGGATGCAGGTTTACAATTTCTTTCCTCTTTTCTAAGACTCTAAAGTCAATTCAAAATGATCCTGTAGTGACTATTTATGATGTAGTAACTTAACAATTTCACCATAACCTCTCCCTATCACTTCAAGTTTGTATGTCTTAATATATATATATATATATATACATATATGTGTGTGTTTTTGTGGTACTGTGGCCCTGCTGAGTCTTCAAAATGAATTGATATTGGTGTATTAAAAAAGTTTTTAATATATTTTAAAACATCAAAATCAGTGTCAATCAATATATTTTGAAGACTGAGCAAAGAAATAATATAAAAAATTTATCAGTGAATCTAAATTCATGTTTGTGTGTGTATATATATAATGCTACATCACATGTCCAAGCTTACATGTAATATGTTGTTCCTCCAAAATAAACTGATGTTGTTGGTATATTAAAAAAGTTTTTAAATATTTTAAAACATCAAAATCAGTGTCTATGGATGTATTTTGAAGATTCAGGAGGAAAATAAAACCAAAAACTCAGCAGAAAATCACATATCAAGTTTGCCTGTACTGTCTTTTTGATGAACTTTTGACATGAGGGTCACTGTCTATTTGCACAATACTGTATAACTATTTCTTGGAGGGATTTTGTTTTCAATTTTTCTGTTAAGTTTGTTGAACATTGTGATTGAATCACGTGCAGTGTACGATGTGACAATTGCATACAAAAATCAATGTCCTTCATTTCTGGACAATGTGTTTGGTGTTGATCCTTCAGAGGTGCACTTGCATGTAAGGCGTATTCCAGTGGAGGAGATTCCTGCTTCTGAAAGCAAAGCTTCATCATGGTTAATAGAAAAGTTCAAGATGAAGGACCACTTGCTTTCAGATTTCAAGATTCATGGTCATTTCCCAGATTAGCAAAATGAAAATGAAATTTCTACATTTAAGAGCCTATTCTCTTTTACAGTGATAGTTTCTTTTACTGCCATGTTTATCTATTTTACATTATTTTCTGTTGTTTGGTTCAAAGTGTATGTAGTTCTATCTTGTGCATATCTTGCTCTTGCAACTCGCTTCAATTTTCAATTGATGCCTCTAAGTAACTATGTTCATGCACTTCATAACACCAAGAAACAAAACACTGAATAGTGTTCTCAATTTTATATTACAATGTACTATCTTGCTCTTCAACTTTATATTTTCAGGGTCAATTATTTCTTCAATTTTCTTTCAATTCTTTTTATTCATAGTCACATAATCAAAGGTATCATTTTTGCTACTAATGCTGTTTTGTAGGAAAAATCAGTATTTTCCAAAGTCAATTTTTTATTAGAAATTGTCACAGTATGACCAAGAAATCGATAGGAACAAGGAGTTAATAGTCCATCAAAACGAGGAAGGATAAAAATTATATTCCTATTTTTACATATTCTACGTGAAAAAAGTGATTTAAATGAATTCCAATGGAATTTATTTTCTTAAAATACATGTTTACTTAGTGGAATAAACAATTTTTTTCCTTTTTAATATATTTTAATAGATTTATTTTAAAATAAAAAACTCTGCTTATTTTAATAAACAAATCTTATGTGTTTCTTAAGTATAATTGTTTTAAAAATTACTTATTAATAATGTTAATTTGAAGTTTAAACAATAGATTTTATTATTAAGAAAATCTGTAAATGCAATTTCAATTTATTCATATTTTTTAAATAAATAATTATGTTAAATTTTAGTTTATCTGCATAGAGAGGCGTTGTTATAAAATAAAGATTTTAATGGTTAGAATAAGAAGAAAAGAAGAAAAAGGAATAAAAGAGAATCGAGATTCATTTTTGTATATTATTTCTTATAAATTTTTTTTTATTTATAATCCAAAGAAAAAATTCAAGAATTACAAATAATTAATATAAATAGTTAAATTAATTATATAAAATCATAACAAATCAATCATATAAATAATTATAGTAAATCAAAGAATAACTATTTATTCATAAGCTCTTTTTTGAATTCTTTTTTGACATGAGAATCTATCTCATTAAAACTTTATTAAGAAACACCTTTTGAGATAAAAATAATGCTTCAACTAATATATGTTTATTTGAATCAAGATATTTTGATATAAATAGTAAGAAAGTTTAAAATCAAATTTAGAATATACCACGTTTGGAAGAATTTTGGGGAAATAGAAGGTAGGGATACATGTTTTATATGTTGTTGTCCGATATTTTCTAAAGAAATAATTTAAATATAAAAGGAAAACATGTGATACCTTAATACACGCAGCTTGTTAGACTTTATTTTTTTCAATTTAATTAGCTTGTTTAGATATATAAATATGAGTCAGCTACCATTTTATCTTTGAAATATAAAACAAATACTATTTTAGTCCTCCAAATTAAAACAATGTTAATTTCAGTACGTCAAATTCAATAAAATATAATTTCAATTTCAATCTCCTCTATTAAAGTTGTTAAAAATAGTTAAAGTATTATTATAATCCTAATTCCTAAAATGCTAATTATAAATATTAAAATTTTTTTACTAGTAGAAACAAATTCATTTACTAAAAAATATTAGTCTTTCTTCTTTCTAACTTGATTCTCATTTGATTAATATAAATATAAATATTATATTAATAGAAGGATCTTTGGTATCATTGCATGTGGATACCAAAATATTATAAAAGAAACGAAAAATAAGGTTATTTATATCATAAATTTATAAAAGAATTTAAAAGAAAATTGTTGTAAATATTTAAGATAATTAAGTTTTTTCTATCATATTGTATGAGTCATACACTCATAACCATCTATTAAAACTATAACATGATTTAGATTCAATTTTAGGAATACTCATGAGTTGAATACTTGTATCAATCATACACTTGTCATGAATTTTCTCTATATTAAATTTAATATCAAGAACAACATTCTTCTTATACAAAGCTCTTTATTCTTATTCCAAACTATCATAGGGTTAATTTCTTTTTGTCATTTAAGTCAAATATTATTTAATACTGATTCCTTAGATTGGGAACCTCCTTCGATCCTCACCACCTAAACTCTATTATCTAAATGAGTATGAGAGAGTTTAGTAGAATCATGATGACTTCATTCTCTGAATTGAAACTCAATACAGTTGTACCTTATTGAATATGACACTTCTCCTTATGAATGATCATATTAATAAAATTTTCACAATCATAATATACTTGTATCACATGATTTCATAAGTTTTTGGTATTCAAGCCTAAATTATATTCATTCTCACACACACTCTCACTTTAAAAGTTCTCATACCATTCATTCTCATTTAGTAATAAAAAGTCATCATAGAAAATTTCATATCATATTAATCAAGTTGCAATAAGATATTAATTATTCAACTCATCCTTTAAAATTAGACACAAATAAACCTATAAGACTTTCGAATATGTATGATGTCCATGTTCTTATAAAGTCTTGCACTTGTCACAAATCATTAATACAATAGATTCAACATTAACAACAATATTTCTTGTTATCCCAAAACTACCATCCTTATCACAAAAACCAACATGACAGGGTTAGTTTCCTTCCATCCTTTAAGTCATACTATTATTTCGTAGCGATTCCACATACTAGGAATCTCCTTCGACTCTCACCGCCTATATCCCCTTCTCTATAAGAGAAAGAGAATTTAGTAAAGTCAAGATGACTTCACGCTTGAGTCCCTACACCAATGTATACATTATACTATACAATATGGACATTTCTCTTTAGAAATATCCATAATCATACAATTCATCTAATATATATCAATACAATAACTATATGTATTTCTCAGTCACACAACACACTTCAATTTCAAAACAACTAATCTATAACTTATTTTCCGAAAACAAATAGTTTTACTTAAGTATTACGCCTCCGAGTACTCGTCCAGTGCCTTTACATTAAGTTATTCCTTTCACCTAACAATTTCATAACTTCTAACCTATGTTCTTCTGGTTCTTCAACTAAAGACTAAATTTTTTCTCATAAACATAGTACAAGTTGTTGAATCTTATCACCATAAATATTATACATAATCGATTATTTAGAAATAGTATAATATAAATAAATAATGCTATAAATATTGAATATATATTTATAGTATAGCAAAACAGTAATATTTATCTTCCTAAATTTTTTTTCATATATAGTTTTTTAATGTATACTTATACGGGAAGACATAAATGTGATATTCTTAGATTTTTTTCTTATTATTAAAAAAAGTAACTTCTACTTTTCTTATTACTTAAATTATTTAAAGTTTAAAAAATCTTAAATATAAATAAATGTAACAAAAACAGGTTTTGAAACACACAAAAAAATAAATTTGCTTAAAAGAAATGTTCCTTATAATACGATGGTTGGAACAGACATACACATACATATGTGTGTGTAATTAGGGGTTATTTAGCAATTAGAAAAATTGGAGTTAGCATGTCCATGTGAAGATGACCCACAATCTTCAATTTCTCACCAAAAGATGGACTCCATTTCTTAAATAACGGTTGGTCAGTTATAAATTCACTTCCCCACCTCTTCCATTCTTCAATTCTCCTTCTTCTTCTTCTTCTTCCTCTTTCAGAATCATGTCTCTGTTTTTCCACCTTCTCTTTCTTCTCTTAGGTAAATTCTTCCTCTATTTCTTTCTAATTGCAATCATCTCTGCTATGTTCAACTTCTACTCTGCATTCAGCTCAAATCAAAACACACGCTTAAAGGTTTTATTATGATGTAATTAGCCAACCATTTTCGATTTTCTAATTTTTTTCTTAATCAATGTCTGGATTATACATTTTCAGGTAATGTAGCATCTGCCACGGTATTTTCTCTCGAGAATCATTGTAGTTACACAGTTTGGCCGGGGACGCTTTCCGGCAACGGCGCCGGCATTCTCGGTTCTGGCGGTTTCGCCCTGCAGCCCGGTTCGTCGGTCCACCTCACAGCTCCGTCCGGCTGGTCAGGCCGCTTCTGGGCCCGGACTGGATGTACCTTTGACGACTCCGGCGCCGGAAAATGCGCCACCGGAGACTGTGCGGGGGGACTTAAATGCACCGGCGGAGGAGTCCCGCCGGTGACGCTGGTGGAGTTCACGATCGGAAGCTCCGGCAACGGTAACAAGGACTTCTACGACGTGAGTCTCGTGGACGGTTACAACGTGGGAATGGGAGTGAGGGCTACTGGGGGAACCGGTGACTGCAAGTACGCGGGGTGCGTGGCGGACCTGAACGGCGCGTGTCCAGCGGAGCTTCAGGTCAGAGACGGAGGCGGCGCGGTGGTGGCGTGCAAGAGCGCGTGCGCGGCGTTTAACACGGCGGAGTTTTGCTGTACCGGCGAGCACGGGTCGCCGGAAACGTGTTCGCCCACACATTATTCGGAGATTTTCAAGAGTGCGTGTCCAACAGCTTACAGTTACGCATACGATGATGCTTCCAGCACTTTCACATGTTCACAATCTGATTATGTTATCACTTTCTGTTCAATGGGATCATCATCTTGATCATTATTAACATGTGCACATTTTCATATACTTCGTATCTATTTTTTTCTGGTAACCTTATGTTATGATTTATCTTAATTATGATTCCAATTAATCTCTGTATAGCGTATCACACCCATGATCGAATATACGTTTAAATTTAGGAACAGTACATATGGATGGACTTTATAATTCTTTTTAGTTGATTATCTATACTTTACGGGTTCTGTTTTTTGCGTATATAATTTATATTTTTATAATAAAATTGTTGTTAATGGTATTTCTTACGATTAATGGTTACTTTGAAATTGGTTGAATAAAATTGTTCTATTTTTTTTGTTTTTTCATCATATTTATAAAAATATAAAAATATGTTCAACTTTATTAATAAATAAAAGTTTACTTTAATTTAAATATTGTAAACATATTGAGCTACTTTGACTTGGGTTCCCTAAATTGGTTTTTGCTGGACGAGTTTATGATTTGGTGAGCGAAACCAAAGTTAATGAACGAAATCAAAGTTAGCGAGGTCGCTAGTCACTAGTCTTTAAAATTCATCCTAAGGCAGGTTTTATCGCTGGGTGCCGCTTTTCCTCACTGGACATGAGGTACCTATTGTGGCAAAATTAGATGCACCTCTGGTATCATTGATCACCCTTTCTTATGCATATTTGGGTGATTGTTTCCTTTTATTTTATTA